CACGCGGACAGAAGACGGCGCCATATTCGAGCACGGCCCCCGCGGCATGCGCCCGGCGGGAACGGTGGGCAAGAACACCCTGTGTATGGTGAGTCGCGGGGGAGGGGGGGCAGAATTGGGAAAACGTTGGGAGAGTTTCGCAGTGAGAGTTTGATGCGATTGTTCCGATGATGGCGCTGCGTCCCGTCCTTCTGACATTCACCAAACATTCACTGCAGGTCAATCTTTTAGGGGTACATTTTTGTTTGTTTTTTTGCATTGGCGCCGGTTAGGCATTGCAACCGGGATCAGTGGATGGCCGGTGCAATGTTCTGATTCCTGCAGACTCTTCCTCCCATCCGTGTCCGTGCATATAGATCAGGGGCGTCCCAAGCGGGGTGCGGGGGGTGCGGCCCGCACCCAGGTGCCACCATTGGAGGGGTGACACCAAAATGACTGACAGTTTAGTGTCACCCCTTATGCAATGTCGGGCGCTCGCTCATGGACAGAGAGCCCGACAGTGTCAGGAGAGAGGAGGGGACCCGGCGACATACCTTTTCCCACCAGGTGAACGTCCCTCCCCCTCCTCTCATTGCCGGCGTCCATCACTAAGATGGCCCCTGGCAGGCTTCAAAAAGTCCACTGTGCATGTGCGATGACGTCATAGACATCGCACATGCACAGTGGAGTAGACAAACTCCAGCCCTCCAGCTGTGGTGAAACTACAAATCCCATGATGCATCTCTCTCCGGGAGTCATGTCTGTGCCTCGTGGGATTTGTAGTTCCACCACAGCTGGAGGGCTGGATTTTGGCTACCCCTGATATAGATGATGCGGCTGTGTGTGGGCGGAGCCATGCACAGCCGGGCCGAATTTAATACTATACAGCAGCCTATAGGGTAGAAAAGCCATGTGATTTAGATAATGGGGAGTGGGAGTTGGGGGGGTTGTCATGTGACCACGTTTCATATTGCATCCTGATGTGGGTGTAACATCAAACACGGTCACATGGTCAGAAAAGTAAACTTAGCCTTTGAATGACAGCGATTGATTCACCGTCGGTGAACGTTGGGCATTTGCGCCGTGCAGTACGCCGGCCATTAAATCAAATGAATCGAAATATTTGAAAGCTGTTTTCTTTTTTTTTTTAATTGCACGATTTGATTGGATTCCACATTTCCACCTTTTAGGTCTCTGAACTCGGCTTGGAAAGCGACCTCATTGCGATCCCGAGGAGTCACCCCGCCGCAAAGAACCGTTACCTCTATGTCAACAAGGCGCTGCACAAACTGCCCTCCAGTCTGGGGTGAGACTTCCGCACTGCTGGACAATTCCACCATGATGGGAAATAGTCTCTGACCCGTGTGACGTTCATGGACTCCTCCAATATCAGCCGTCTATGGGGGGAGTTTGGATGAGATTATTCGCTGGGGGCTGAGGAAGTAATCGGCGGGAGAGTCGGGTGTATGGATGCTTCTCAAAATCTGGGAGACATGAGTGATTTATTCTCCGGGATCCCCCCCAATTCTACAACGTCAGATATAAGAGGGGCAACCCCCCCCAAAGAGGAAACGACCCATCAGAGCTCTTTGTGACCACTCCCATTTTCTGTTTTATTACAGCGGGGTTCTGCGTACAATCCCCCCGTTCTCCAGACCTCTGTTCCTGTGCGGCCTGCAGGATCTGACGGCTCCCCGCGGATCCCAGGAGGATGAGAGCGTCCATGACTTCTTCACACGCCGCTTCGGGAAGGAGGTAAGAAATGGAGAGCAGACTCTGCTCTGCTGGAGGACTCTGCTCCTTCCTCTATAACTCTCCTCTCCTGATATACTCTGCTCTGCTGGAGGACTCTGCTCCCTCCTCTATAACTCTCCTCTCCTGAAATACTCTGCTGGAGGACTCTGCTCCTTCCTCTATAACTCTCCTCTCCTGATATACTCTGCTCTGCTGGAGGACTCTGCTCCTTCCTCTATAACTCTCCTCTCAGGATATACTCTGCTCTGCTGGAGGACTCTGCTCCTTCCTCTATAACTCTCCTCTCCTGAAATACTCTGCTCTGCTGGAGGACTCTGCTCCTTCCTCTATAACTCTCCTCTCCTGATATGCTCTGCTGGAGGACTCTGCTCT